CAACAAGCTGTTTCATGCATTAGCATACCTTCATCATCTTTTTTTCCTTTCTGGACAACACCACCACTTATAAAGTTCAATGGCCTACTATAATCCTTCTTTCTCCTTCCAGAAGAACTTGATTCATCGTCCGAATCATACTCAGCCCACATGCCGTAAGTCGCTTCTTCTTTGAGTCTCCCTCTCGACTTGTACGGCCTAAAACCAAGCCCCAAGAAGCCAGCTTGCCTGATATCATTGTCTGTTACTTCAAATGCTTCTACTTCTTCCTCTTCGTCCATCTTTTAAGTCTGATTTTCGATAATTTGGCGCAGAGAAGGTTATGATCAAATTCACTCAATGTCATCCGCCATGTTCTAGTCCCAAGCCCTACCAGTCCTCTAAAGACTACAGGAAGCCCAAGAATTCACAAATAAAGCGCTTGCGGTTTTGCATGCGGCAATTGCGTTCAATGTTGTTAATGTTGTAAAACCTAATAACCGTGTCCAGGCCGATCGAAGGCCTGCGGCACGGTTATAAAATGCAGTGCTTTATTTATTTTTTCCACGTCGTAGTTTAGCAATCCCAAGGGACCCATGCAGGTTCCTAGGTTCGATTCTCGACTCGAGCACGCCTGAAACTTCTTTCTTTTTTCTTCCTTTCTTTCTTTTTTTAACTGAAATATAGTTTTTCTAGTCATGCTAGATTTTTTATCGTAGCAATTTGTTTTATTAATATTTACGAGCCGTTTGTTAAATTTTAGAAACTGAAGAGTAACACTCGAACAGCGACGTCGAACTGAGGATCCGGGCTCAAATCTCGACTGAAGAACATTTTCTTTTTTCTTTCTTTCTTTCTTTTTAACTAAAATGAAGTTTTTATAGTCATGTTGCTTTGTTCTGTAGATATTCGTTTAACACTTATTTTCGAGCCATCTTCATTTGATTTTACACAGACTATCATACTCGACTGAATGGCGTCGAACTTAGGATCACGGGTTCGATTCTCGACTCGATCGCATATATTTCACGGAAAAATTCTATACACTTAACATAACCTGGACACGGTATGTTCCACGAAGTGGTTCTTGTTAGAATAAAAGTTACCAAGGACGCAAAATGGTCCTTAAAAAGTGTCAAGAAATAGAAAAACAGTCATACCTCGTCATAACAATGCATATAAATATATTCTGTATGTCCCAGTAAACTATCTTTGCCGGTTTTGCCGTGTAAGACACTGGATGTTTTAACTTAATTCAGATAAATTGTAAATATACTAGTAATTTCGTGCCGGATAAAAACTCTAGTCTTGATTTTTGAGCGGTTTGCTGTATGAAAGGTGAGCAGCGTGAACAGCCCTCAGGAGGAGAGCCGACGGGGTCTGTTTTCTAACATGTTCTAACAACTGTTCTTGTACAAATTTTTCCTGGGAAAGGGATTTTGAGCTACATTGTTGACACTCTCACAAGAAAATGTAGCGCCCTTCCTTCTTTAAAATAATTTTGTTCCTGGCAAACGTTTTTAACGAAAAAAGGCTTATGTAACGTTTTTATGGTCAGATTAAAACGGCTAATACTTTTTTAGTTAGGAATTTTTTATTTTCCTGGCAAAAATTCTTAAAAAGTATTCCTTGTTTGTAGAGTTCTTTTTTCCTGAATTTCTCGCTGGCAACCAGTTGTGACTTACAGCTGGCTGGGCCATAAGAACAGATATATTTCTCCCACTGCAACATGTCGGCTCCTCATAATCCCTATTAATAACCAAAACCAAAATATTCGATGTTCTTTCTTATTTCTACATTATTTGCTTCTTCCCTTGCATGCGGAAAGTTAAAAGTAAATCCCTGTGCACTCAATATTACAGTAACAACTTCCGATATGATTTCAGCTAAAAAATATCAAAAAATACAGCGATTGTAAATAAAAAATCGGGCTAGTGCTTCGAGCATTCAGCAGGTGATCAATTATAATTTATAACACGTGGATTGGAGAAAACCAAGAACTGAAAATTACATTATGTTAACACTTGAAATATTCATTCTCGCCGTGATAACTTTWATTATTGTATGCGGTAATAGCAGGTTTATCGAACAAACATTTTGGAAGCCCATGGCCAGATCGTCATCTCAAGCCTTGTCTCGGAAGAGATCCTTTAAAAGAAAGGTGTCAGGTGGAATGAACACGAGTGAATGGCCCAAAAGCTTCATAAGCTTTTTTCATAGAATAGAATGAGCCCAATTGTTATGCAGTTATGTTCGTAGTGTGCTTTTTGATCTGTGTGAGCCATCCTGGGGAACCTATTGAAAGTGAGTAATCTTCTGTAGGGTCCGTACCGCGTCACGTTAATCACTCTGGAAGCGGAGTTAAGTGACAGGTAACCCACCTAAACTCATGACAGGGTTCTAAACTCTCCCAACGATACAGTGAGGTCCTTTAAACCGAGTAAATCAAAATAAAAGCAATTCTCAGTGATTGGTGCCTTCAATGAGCACTATACAGCGACATCAAGTATCAACKTCGCCCCCGGGGTCTTTTCAATATTTCTTATCTCATTAACCGTACACTGAGCCGTCGTAACGAGAAGAAGCCACTGCTATAAAAATGCGGCAAATTGACCATAAAAGGCCATTAATTTTACTCGCCATCAAAAACACACAAAATATATCATTAACCTAAACGAAATTCTCCGACAAATTAGACCACATTTCAAGCTAACATGTATGTGAATAGATGTTAATATTAACTATGCACGATAGCTCACGAATGTAGATAATGGGAGATGGCACAACACTGAYCCAATACAAAACGAAAGCTACCCATTTTTGAGTATTTGATCGACTTTGAATAAACATGCTTTTGAAACAATAAATCAATTAAGAATACTTTACGCGGCGGTAAAGAGCTATTTYGTTTGSCAATATTTCACACCGACAAATTAAAATTAAGTCGTAAATTTGCACTTCACGGAGSCTTTACAGACGTTCTAATGAYTGTGACGTCAGCAGTGGATGATTAAAATAACACCTAAAATACCAGAACGAACATTCCTAAGCTCATCATAACATATGGTTTTAGAACGTGAAGTCATGCTGTAGAAGAAACAGTGAAATTGATACCAGCACATASATATATCTGTTACAGAAGATTTCGTAAGTGTATATCAATGTCACACTAGCTATAAATCGCTCAAGATAGCAAGACTACGAAAAAGATGAAACAAAAGTTGACCTGCCTTGTGGCGGAATATTACTAAGCTGAGGTATGGATAACGGACCATGTTTTAGCTAAAATATCTCCATTAAATACGGCATTTTAAGACTGTAAAGATCAGCAGCCGGATCCACAATCTTTCTGATAGCGATGTTTAGTTCACAGAAAGGTTAAGGCCTACAGAATAATTCGAYGTTTTCTTTATAGAAAAGATCATCAGCTCTTTTTCGACAAGCMGTGCTAATTGAGGTCTCCCAGTTAACCATTTTGGTCAGTATGCCATTAAATTTGATGTAAAATAGCTTTAGGTCATCTAGTTGCGGTTGTCAMATTACTTTCATTGAGTTAAACGAAAACTGCTTGTCTTAAGATAAATAAGAAGAATTTTATCCATCTCGAAATATTAAATATGTCAATAAACCAAGACAGCTTATCTATCGAACGCATAGGATTTGGACGTCATTTTGTCGCAGTGACAATGGCATTCATTACCTCCATGGAGACTTGACTTAATTGATGTAGTTAAAGTAAACTGTTTTATTTTTCAGTGCTAATCTGATCTGTGCTCTAACGGATATAAATAACTGTTGTCAAGCAAATTCTACAGAGTGTTAAAGATATATATCCTTCAGCTYTGGTTAAAGAAAGTCGGTTGCATTGCCATTTAATTCAAGGGCAATTCAAGCAAGCATTTACATTTTCGTCATTTCTTGTATTACTATCGGAARGATCTTCGCAAACCTACAGAAACCCAAGAGCCGCCATATAGTTCACAATGAATGCTACTGAGGGTAATTTTACATGCCCAACGCCGTTTGTTTGGTATTTCTTTCCATACAACGTCAGCATGTTTGTGCTTTACATACTGGTGATATTTGGTGCCTTCATTGCCAACATTCTCGTCTTCATTGCCGTGGGTATCAATCCAAGGCTACGACAAAACGTTGCGTCTTATTTCATCGTCTCTTTGGCGATTTCTGACATCGCGGCGGCGTGCGTTTCAATGCCATTTGATTTGCAGTCTTTTACAACATTTGGACTTTGGTATTATGGTGAGATGTTGTGCATCGTCTGGACTACTTCATATCTTATAACTGTGCCCACATCAATGTGGAATCTTCTTGTACTGAGYATTGATCGTTATAGGACTTTAAGTAATCCATGGGATAGATTCAAGCAAACACCATTTATGACTAAGAAACGAGCGATATTTGTCCTGGGAGCACTTTGGATGTGTAGTATTACATATGCATTAATACCACAAATGGGTTGGAAGCACAATGAATCTAGCTTGTTCACTCCCACAGAATGCTCGGGTACTTGGTGTATATTCAATGTTAATCAAACATACTCTATTCTGAGCTCGGTTCTTAATTTTTATTTACCRATGTTTGCTATGTGTTTCATATATTTCAAAATCTACCAAATTGCAAGGACGCAGTATCTCAGGCCTTCYCCATCTCCTCAACTCGAATTAAAGCGGTCTGCTGGAAACTCGCCGGTCCAAAAMCCAAAACAACTGAAAAACRCATCTGAAAAGTGTGCCAGCGAAGAAAATAAAGTGGACAATATCGAAAAAGGATCTRGTCTTATAAAAAATGTCCTTGAAATGAAGGAAGGTCGAGGAAACCTTAGGGAAATTGAGGAGTTAAGAGGGGGGCATGTTGCGGCAAATGATAGTACGTCAGACAGCCGTTCGTGTCACGGAACCAAGAACGATGAAAGATATGATGATAAAGTAGAATCAACCACAAAAACCTGCAACGACGAAAACCATTATGGATCCGAATTCACTTCAAAAATAAGCGCAAACGGTGAGATCGATAAAGAAACGGAAGAAATTAAAAGAAAACACAAGACTAGTCTTGATGGCCAAGAAGTGAAGAAAGATTTATCACAAAACGATAACGCGATTAGCGACGTTGAGAACACAAGTCGCCGAGAAGAAAATATCAATGATAACGGCAATGGGAGGATTCTTGACAAAGAACGGAGAAATTCAGTTATTTTTAATGACACTAAAGCGCTYCCTAAAGATTTAATAGAAAATGATGATGTTASTGACCCTACCCAGGAAATCCGAAACARCACCAACAAAACAGATGTCCCACAAAATGCCTCAACTATGAYTTCACAAGAGGAMGASAGTCATAACATTGACATTGAAAKCAGTAATGACAACCTTGTAMGCAATAATAGCAACGARGCAAGYGAGAAGGACGATGACAATGAATCAACCGCAAGCCAAAACGATGATGCTTCATCATCGCCACAAAACGAAATAAATAACAGGCAGACTGGTTCCCCGCAGCACGGCGGCTTAATGAAACCAACACCGCTAGAAATACAACACATTCTACTCAAGAAACTATGTCAGGACGACCGSATCAAATCTGCCAGCCAGGACTCTATGGAGAGCACCTGCACACTTCAATCAACAATAACCTACTGTGTAAACAGAGTCCACATGTCAGGATCAGGGGACACCATCAGCACCATTGCTACAGGTACTGTGGACATACTCACCAAGAGAAAAAAGATTTTCGTCAAGAACAAAAAGGCTGCGCGTACAGTCTCGATTATTGTGGGGACTTTCCTACTSTGCTGGCTTCCTCATACCACTTTTAGCATTGTGAAAAACGTATGTCATCCATGCGTTGCTGATGATCAAACGGGGCAAATGTTGTTACAATTTGAACAAGTGACTTTRTTATTGGGGTATTTAAGTACAGTTATAAACCCAATTATTTATAGCTATAGAAATACACAGTTTAGGAAATCATATCAAATGATGGTCAGAAAGTTATTACCTTGCTTGAAAACTCTAGTTCCTCGAAATGGTTGATATTCGTTAGATAAATCCTCAAATTTTACTATAGTACAAAATGTTTAACAATATTGTTCAGGTATCAATTATTGTCAGTATAAAAGTTTCGCAATCGTCGGAAACAAATGACTAAATATCGATGTAGGSTAGAGGGTGTATATATAAAAGAAACAATAAAATGATATGGAGGCAATGTCTAWTGCCAAATGGGGACTCCTTTGTAAAATATCAAAAATATCCCATCGTTTGGTTTAATCAGAAGTACATATGTACTTCCTGGTTTAATTTTTATGTTCTATATGGAAAATGTCAGTATGAAGATAAAATGTTAGTCCTTTTTGACAATACGATCAACTTCATAGGCTTTTTCATTATCCTYGTTGTATTCTCGAATATTCGTATAGATTTGTCTATCCCGAGCATATAGTATAAAATAGATAATCAGGTAAAAAAATCACGAAGTGAATAAATGACTGTAAGGTGCGATGTATAAATAAGTTTAACTCGGCATTGTTGTCATTTAATCTCTTTCTTAATAGTCGAAGATACGACAATAGTTTTTTATACTTCACATCTCACAAGAAATCATTTGAAAATTCAGAGAGACTATTCATATAATTATATATTTACTGGCGGGAAATGTGCAGTCTTGACCGTCCTCGGTAAATAACTCTTGCCAATTCCTAGAATCGACACTTCAATTATGCCGTTCAAGTGCTTTTAATTTAAAATTTTCAAAAAAGATTTCTTTAATTCATATTTGATTAAAATTTTCAAAAAACATGTCTTTAATTCATATTTGATTCTCAACAATTTATAGACGCACTCTATTGAATAAAATTACATGGTTAGAAGAGTTAGAGGGGTAAAGTAAACACCATGCGTTGAGCTATATCATCTAGAATAGCAGCTAGCAGAAAACGAAGGAAACGAAGTCTGGGAGACGGCAATAGATATTAACACTATAGATTCCTAAATGAACTTTGCGGGAGCTAATTAAGCTAACCAGTCTGGTGAGTCACTGCGGTAGTATTTGGTATTGTTATTATCATTTTTTTTTTTCTGTGAGACATTGCGTTTATCCGGCCCTTTTAAAAAAATACCATTTGAGCTTTTCAACGTTTCAGCTTGCATTGCATCCATTTTCTGTACTTTGAATTATGAAAAACTGTGTTTTAATTAGGYCCAGAATAAAATCGCACTTTTTTCTTTCTTGTTCTACTTTCTCTTTCACGACATTGCACGGCAATATRAATATTCATAACAAAATCCACTAAAATATCAGCTCATTCATAAATAGTGAGTTATGATTGTACTACAGGATTTCCTCGTCTTTCTTATATTCACGTGTTTATGGCAAGTACATATTCATAGGAAGCGGCTCTATTATGACTTTCTTGTGTAGCATTTCTAACTATGGTCTGAATTATAGTACTATTATCACACTATCATATTTGAATTGTTATCTTCAGGGACGGATCCAGAAATTGTGGGAATGAGAGAGTGCAGTTTAAGTATCAGAAGATATCAGAAGGTTTTTTAATGCTTTTATAAAATAACAACAACTCTTCGCTTCACTTAAAAACCTTCACTCTATGCTCTCATAGTTAAAAAAATCAGTTTTTTTGCATTTTCAACCCATCTATGCACGAGTTTTTATTGATTTTTAGAATGCAAATTGAAAAAGACACACTTCGCTTTGCAAGCATACTGTCATGTTGCAACTGCAACTTGCCAGGGGGTTTGCCCAGCCCCATGTTTTCATTTTACGCGCCCCTGGGACCACCCTTTAGTTATCGCTGCAAAGCTTGTACACTCCTTTCTTCAGTGTAGAATCATGAAAAGATTATTTCACAATTTTGGTCTGGCAATGGTYTAATGTTAAAAGTAGTAGACGGTATATATTGCCCGAGGCATGTCGATCTATTCTATTACCTATATGCGAATCACTTTTSTAGTAAACCTTCTTTTTTCAGCAATACCTTTCAAGTTACTTAACTTGAAATTAAGATTGAAAAGCGTGAGTTGAAAACACGTGAAATTRGTTTAAGAATRGCAACAGATATATAGATAGAAAGGCTTTTTGACAGCTTACTAAGTGAAAGCAAGGTAGTTTTGTATACTGATAGATAAGGCTGTCGATTCATTTCCGTCCAATATATATTCATACGCAATTCTCATAAAACAAATAACGCTTTTATGCAGTGCTTTTTTTGATAAATCATGAATAAGAACATACATAGCAATTATTATACTGATCAGGCGGACGCTCGAAGCCGTCGTGGAGCATTTWTCGAGCAATATTCAATTTCTAGTTTTAGCGTTGTTTGTTGCCTGTGTAGCTGTGTGATATACACTYGCAACGATGTTTTGGCACTGCAAAACCCGTGATGAAATAGAAAAAAACGGACTAGTCTTTAACAGCCCCAAAACATCGCGCATGCATTTCTAACGACAAGTAGCACTGTTATTTATGAATGGTACTCTCGCTTCTAAGGCTGCCACTTATAATATACTATAGAGGGAGACAGTCTTCCTTCGCTAAATATGATTATAGCTAGCACACTGTATGTGCCTAGCACCTATGACAACCAACTTTGTTGAATATACAGCTGATCATAAGTACTGCAGATTCATTTTCAAAAGTGTCTGTGAACCAGAATACCATAATTTGGACCAAGACTGACACGAAAAGTTAGAATCCGGAATCTGACAAAACTTTGAAAACACTGAACGTTGTTCAGTTGTAAAGACATATAATAGAAGACAACAAACAAAGTCATTTGCATAAAAAAAATGGGCGGTATCCTTTACCGCYAGCACAATACATCTAGTTTTATTCACTTGTAAAAACACAGTTTCCTCTCGCATGCTCTTAAATCCGAATATCTCTCCAACTTCTSTTACCCATTTAATGAGCTGTCGACCTGACTTGGCGGACGTTTTCCAGTGCTGAGCTTTAATAAGCCGAATGTGGATTATTTGTCAACAAAACTGGGCTCATATTGTCCATTCCGAAATTCAAAAGGAGACTGGGAACGAGTGTGAAAATATTACATCCATCGAAAACTGAACCTCACCACATGAAAGACCACACTAAAATAAGTGTTCTTGTCAAGTTTGAGCATATTTGGTTGAATACTCACCGAGTAGAAATTTTTTCTCAAATTTATAAAAATAAGAGAGAATGTATGGTTTTTGGGGACGCTGCTCAAGAGCTCTATACATTCTTTGTAATATTTTTTCGAGTTTTAAACGCTTGAAACTCTGTAATTATTAATCCGAATACTCTCCAACTCAGCAGCTTTACTAATTTTAGTATGCTCTTTCTTTTCCTAATGTCTGTTTTTTGATTGCTTCAAACAGTATCGAGTTTGTGACTAGTCACTAGTCCATTTTTGAATTTCGGAACTGGCAATTGCTGCATTATTTTCGCACTGCGAGACAGCATATCTCTATATCAGGACTGTGGCTGCCAGGGCTTTTATTAAAATTCTTTAGCGAGTATCGCGGCCAAATGCCGTTGAAAACTCTTCAAAGTTATGTTATTTGTGTAATTTTTCAGGTTTATAATCTACTATTATTACAAAGTTGATTTTTATGAACGAAATTAAAGAAATAAAATCTAAATGGGACTCATTCAAACAACACTACTAGCGTGCATCTAAAAGAAACAGGGCGCTTGGAAATATATCTGTTCTCTAAGCGCCCTGAATGTTTTGCACATGCCCGGCATCCCCCCTTCTTCTCCCACCCTGTAACGTTCTTTATAAAACGGTGAATATCACTCCTGATGGTGATTTCAACTTTCGCAATATCATGTCAGGTGGTGATCATTTCGACAGAAGGGGTTGGGTCGGTTGGGGTGGGACGAGGGGTAGTGAATGACAGTGGATTGGTCGGTGAAACAGGATATTTGTTCGGCTCCTCGCGGGCGAAACTTTAAAGAAAGTTTGCAATGTTTTTCCTCACTTGCAAGAGTTCGCAGGATATATTTTTTCCCTGTTTTTGCCTGAAACTCGTTCAAAGGTRAGAAAAAAATATGAACAATACACTCGTAGAAGTTCAAAGGATACTTTTTTTCTTCATTTCTGCTCCAATATACCTGATGCTAAGTCCTCAAATTTTCAAGGAAAAACTTTTGGAATTGGAGTTGAACAAGTAATTTTTGACGCCTCCTACCTTGTCACAATATATTACAGGCCAAGCAGAGAAGCAAAACAAAAAACAAACAAACGAACAAACGAGCAAAAAAAAACCAATAAAAAAACAATATCGCCTAAATTTGCCTGAAACTCCTTCAGAGGAAAGAATACACTGCAGAAGTTTTATTTTACCCTATTCAATTCAAAAATGAAAAATTTACTACTGTTTTTTTATTCCCATACAATGTCTACTAATGTCCATTAACACAGCTTGGGCTACCTGTGTTTTGATGTCATAAAATATTCAAAATGCAACAGCTTCATTCCCAGGACTTCTCTGCTCGCTTTTTAAATTGATAATCAGCCAATCAGCGCGCGTGAATCCACCCTATTATACTTGCTCCACTCTTGACCACTCTTGGATGGATTAGCCTGCACGCAGGCTAGGATGGATGTACGCGCGCTGATTGGCTGATCGATTAGTTTAAAAACGTTTTGGCTTAGAAAAGTCGAATAAAGGGATGATGCACATTACTGTACGCCTGTGTAAACCAGACTGGGTTTAGTGGGGAAGAACGACGCGTTCTTAATTATCATCATTTTTAGTGGTTTATTATTGACGTAATATAGCATGTTGAACACTAGTCCTCATTATCATTGACAAGTCAACTTTTAATATCCATATATGTTATTTAAATTCCATTTAATTTTCATTTGATTTTATTCTTATACGGCTTCTTGTTCAAAATCACATCATCTGAACTGCTCTCAGCATCGAGCTGCCATTGCTCTGCCCCTGCCAAATTCTACTCGACGAAACTCTTTACAATCAATGAAGCGATCTCCTACAAGAGTGTTAAAAAATTGATTTGTAGTAAAATTCACTGCATATTTTGTCTGAAGGTGTACATTTTCGGAAAATTATTTTAAAAATATAATATAAATACAACGACGCAATACAGATTATACATGCATAGACTATAATAAGATCAAGGCAAAGTCCTCCGATTGCACCAGTCTCACAGAACAACTAAAGAAATAGAAATGAGRACAATGTTTTACCATTTTTGTCAACCTTTTTAAAGCTGGCAATGATGGAAGCCTTTCCTGTATTCTTTGGAAACGCAGCTTGAAACTCTGACAACGAGATACGKCCGTCTTCGTTCTTGTCGTACGTAGACATCTTGTTTGGCAGTGGRAAGACACGAAACTCGGAATAGGATGGCTGATATGCATTAAATCTTATGTTATAAGTTGTTCTTTTCTTTATTGTATATAGCTATTTCAAAAAATACGCAGTCAAAGACTGCATGTGACTCAGGCCAAAAATATAGGCCAATAAAATGTGTTAAAAATGTAGATAAGAATTGTACTCTGATAGAGTAAGAAAAAAGGTTATTGATAGTAGTGGTAGCTGTAAACTATGAAAAGTTAGGTGGACCACTCTTAATAATAAATATTTATGAAGTGAATAGATAGACATTTATTTTTAAATGCTGTAAAATACTAGTGAAATTTATTTAAAAATAATGTTTACCACTCATTGGCAAAATAGTCAAAAAGAGCA